TTTACAAAGAAAGATCTCCAACACGGAAATTCAAGAAATTCTGAAACATTGGGTACATATAGAGCGTTTATACATATGTATTACGCAATTTTCTTTTCTTGCGCAAATTCACTGTAGGGGTTGAAAATCTACCCTCAAATATTCTGCTATTTTTTTTATTTTATTGCTACAATTCGCAAACTGTACAAGATAGAAAAAAGTTAAAAACCAAAGTAACTTCTTTAATCCAAAACTATCGTGTGGTATACGATTTGTTAATTGTTTAAACAGATGGCAAAAATTGTGAACAAATAATCGATATTTTTTAAATTTTTTATTAGATTTGAATCAAACAAGTAATTTTTGTTTAAAAACTTTCTTTCTATCTTGTACAGTTTGTGAGTTATAGCAATAAAATAAAAAAGAAAATAACTGAATACTTGGGAATAAATTTTGCAAATAAATTTTAAAAGTGATTTTATACAACAAAAACAAATTGTGTACTACATATCTACATATGTTCTACATATCCCCGAAGTTTCAAAATTTTTTAAATTATATCATACCTTGTCAGACAATTTTTATTCTGCACAAAGATCCGCAGGTTAGTAAAAACGATTATTATTACGGTTTTAGTCATCATCTCGCTGGTCTTGAATATCTTTGGAAAACATAGATATTTGTTTGCTATTTTTCCAAGCATGGTAAAGAATGAGAAAAAGAAAACATTGTCTCTTGCATAATATTATATATTGTCATTTCACAAATGTGTGTGTCTAAAAGGACTAAAAATATTTTGAACAAAATTGAATAATATCGTAAACGATCCTACGCAAACTCGGTTATATTTTCGTCCAAATTTTTCGCAACTATATATACAATAGGCGATCACTTCCTATTATTCTTATCTTTTACTTGTATTAAAAACTACATTAAAAATGTTGATAAATTAAATCATGAAAAAAGAAAATCCTCTGTTCGCTTATTAATTTATAATTCAGAATTAATAATTGATCGCTATCCGTTGCAACCTTCGCACAGGGAGATCCATCGAGAAAGATCGACTCCGTAACGTAGAAAATCACGCGTAACTTTTTATTTCGCGTACGGCGCGCATCAACGCGAAAACGCGTAAGCCCTAGTGTCCTCGTAAGGAAAGGCAAGCACGGAGACAGTTTCAATTGTTCCAATTACCGTTCTCGCGGCAGCCTGTTACCGTTTCCTGGCGAAACGAATCGCGGACTCGACCGAACACAATAAAGCAATGGCGCAATCTTTGTCGAGGGCCATTCGGAGCGTTCCGCCGCGGCCCGACGAGAAAAGAACCAACGACTCCGGCTGCGTTTCTACATAACCGGCTTGTAACGGACAATTGCCGGTCGTATTGTATCAAAACGGTCTGCCAGGGTTGCGTCGAAGGTGCTGGGCGGCGTTAAACAGCCAAGGGGGCGCTCTGCCAACAGCGTTGCCTTTTATTGCGCCCGGGACGACGGGGTCAACCGTTAAGGCATCGTGAATCACGGGAATGGCCGGCATTCGGTAAATGATGAATGGAGAACGAACAACAATCGTATCTTTTCTCTTTTTTTTTTTTAAGCAACGACCGGCTGTGCTGCTCGCCATGGAAATCTACCGAAGCTGCCCCGTCCCCGTTTTGTTGCCGTTTGACCGACCGAACGGATCTAATTGGAAAAAGTTTCGTCGTTATCGATAGCTTCGGTTTACTGCGAATTCGAGGCATTGTGCCGCCGCTGCCGGCTTAGCTTTAATTATACGGCCTATTGGGAACGCCGGGCTTGAAACGTCTCGCCGTGCGTTTACTATAACTACTTGGGAAGTGGTATAGCCCCTGGAAGAGACAGCGGAACTCGGATTATTCGCTGTCGACTGCCGCGCGGCGGTGAAATCCTGACTAAAATTAATATTCCAAATTCTAAAGTAAATTATTGAGATGCCTGGGCTGCGCTTTTGATGAATCCATTGACTCTACAAAATAAACAGTAGAAGATATGAGCGGAATAGTCTATATTGCTTCTCTTGAATTCCTTTTAAGATATTGCATAAGATATGGATTTTGGAACAATGATTTTCAAATTATTACTGTTGTAGAGATTATATCATAGAAAGAAACGTTATTATTCTTATCATTTTTGCACGGTTATAGAAAGATTGCAGAAATTAATATTTCCGATAGTAAACTAAATTATTGGAATGTGCGAGCTGCTTTTTTGGTGAATCCGTTCGCTTCACAAAATAAACAGATGAGAAAAGCTGTGTAATATAGTTTGTATTATTTTCTTAAATTCGCTTTAAAATATTAAATAAAACAAATACTGCAGAATTACTAGTGGCATATTATGCACATGAAAATAAATAGAAAATAATAATGTTGAATTAAACCTTTAAAATATACAAGATTATAGATTATAGATTAGTGTATACAAGATTATAAATATGTACAAAAATATAAAAGATTAATCAATATCTAAACAGATAAATATTTAATTCAATTACTATTAGACGTAGTAAAAGGAATTTCGGATGAGCGCTATCTAATTTCAACGATTTATATAAGAGTAAGGAGTTAATTACAATTAATTGGCTTCTGTAATAAATTATCTGCGTATTACAGAATATTAAATTTAGCTATGTGTATGAGGCACACGCTCCTCACGGAACAGACAATTTTTCATATTTACGACGAATAAATTTATCACGCGAAAAAATCGTAACTACCGTTAATTAAATTAGCTTTTACTATTCAACTGGCATTAAAATTAATAATTCCGTTAAAACTGAAGCAAATGTGAAAATTTCAGACATTGCTGACAACATCTTGAAATGAGAACAAGATATAAGAAATGACAGATCAAAAATAAAAACATTCACATGAAAATTCTGTACGTAAAATAAACAATTAAATATTTACAGAAAGAATACTGAAATAATTCTAAGAGGTTCGGAGAGATTATCGAAGGAAGAAATTAATTTCAATTTAGCCTCCGAACCTTTCAATTAATCAAGAGAATTTATCTTTCGCAAAGGGATCCTCGGTAAATGAAAGAATAAGCTCAGAATGTAAATGAGAAACTGTCGCGCTTAACAGAATATTATGACTAGAGAAATCGTTACGGAAAAATGAACAGAGAATGAAAGCGAAGGGGTAAGGTAAAGAAAAAAAGTTCCGTTCCCATCGATAAATCCAACACGACGGGAATTACACGCCTCGTGAAGCGCAATTATCACTGCAACGAACAAGGCCAACAGCGTTAAAAGACCTATTAGACTGGCTGCGGGTGATGAGACATTTTCGAGGATTTGGCAGCGAGCCTCCTTAAACATAATCGGACTTCGGTATCGATGTCTAGTCGATGTGACCCACTGAGCGAGTTTATAGTATACCGATGGGTTGAATGAAATATTACGTATGTAGCTTCCCGTATACTGTGTGTTCCGAGCCACTGGTTTATTATGAAATAATATAGCATGTCTCAACTAATAAATATATCTTATGAAATGAAGATTATAATAATTGCCGAAACTTCCGTACTTCTGCAATTTTTCTAATAAATCTTATTGTATCTTACGTAGCACTTCGAGATCTATCTATTTTTATGAAACATTCAGAACACGAAATAAATTATTCTGCATTTTTAGACAAATTTTATTCGAACTAGGTGCTTCGTTTGAGAAAATATCTGTTCCCGGGGAATTATTATGAAAAGAAATGTTATCCTTGGGAGCTCCTTGAAAATGAGTTCTCGCAATATACATACAGTTACTCACAAAATTCAGCGTACCTTTTAAAACGCAGTAACTTTTTAAGAACCTCGCAAAAATCGAGGATTAAATCGCAGTTTTATCACGATTTTGACCAAAAACTGGACGAAATCTGCCGTTTTTTTTAAGTTTCAACGTCTGTAGCTCGACTCCGAGTTAACCGATTTCAATCAAATTTTCAGCACGCATATAAGTTACCAAGATCTTCGAAAGGCATTTTTTAAATTTTTGTTATAGGCTCAGATAAAAAAGTTAAAAATGAGAGTTCTTTATTTCTTTTTTGGCATACCAAGTAATAGCAAATTAAAAACAAAAAGGCATTTTAGGCATCGTCTAGTAGACTAGTTTCTCTATCATCTAAAAAAAATTCAAATCATTTAGTTAGTTCTAAAAGGGGTATGCTCAATTTTGTGAGTAACTGTATATAGATACTCTAGAATCAGTGCAATAAAAATTCCTTAGAATACATAAATTAAATAAACTGCAAATCTTTCAAAAGAGTTTACAGGTGTCCCACAATTATGTTAAAACACAGAAGAGGGTGACTCCTGAGATCATTTGAAGTAACTTTTTCCTTAGCCAAAATGCAATCCTCGGCTTTAATTACGAATTATTAACGAAAAACAACCAATGAGAGGCGAGATCAGTTGGCGGAAAGCGGCCGAACCAACTAGTGGTCGAAGCCCAGTTCCGCTGATTGGCTCGGCCGCTTAGCGTTGGGCGAGCTCGCCTCTGATTGGTTGGTGTTTTTCGTTAATAACTCGCAAATAAAGCCGCGGATTGCATTTTCGCTAAGGAAAAAGTTACTTGAAATGACCCGAGGAATCACCCCTTTCCGGGTGTTACCACAATTATGGAACACCCTCTATATAGGTAAGTATTATAGATCTAAATTGATCCTGACTTCATTGATTGTTACAGAATTCACTATGAACATATATTTTATGTTTCTATTGAACTTCCATATCATCCATGTACGGGATATCAAGATTTAAAAATGAATTTTCGTTCTAATATATCTAGTGTATCAAAAGTTACGATCTGCAAAATGTGTCAAAGTTGAAAGCGTAATCGGAAGTATTAAAGTGAAAATTTGTAATGTGTCAATATTTATTTCGTAGAATAAATTTCTTTGATTTAATGGAACTTTTTAAGTTGCCAAATTGGCAGTCGAAGTATTGATATCTATTGCATGCGAAAACAAAATATTTCACCGTCAATGAAAGGTTCTTTCTACTCACGTCACCCTTTTCCGGAACATATTTGGCCAGCCACCCCCATAGAATACCAAATCCAAAGCCACCGATGATAGAAATGGGGCCCTGAAGGATCTGATACCACAGCGCCTCATGAGAAAACATGATGCTCTTCAGAATCCCGTGAATCGCGACAGACGCTGCGTCATCGATTCCCGAAACAGCGATAATTAAAGTTGGAATGCCCTGTAACAAACAACAATATTAACTGAATTACTGGTTTAAATATTAAGTGGTAATGCATGCACAATTAATATTCAACGCTGCACAGTACTAACAAATGACAATGAAATGTTGAACAACGGATTAATGAAAAATAAATGTTCCAGAGATATTGGATCCTGGCTCGTTTCACATTGTGGTTAATTAAACGATCAGTGCCCAATTAAATGCCGCAACATCATTGTTTCAGAGCGCTTAATGTTCTAATGAACAATTGAATTTATTACAGAGTTAATACTTGCACGGAATAAAGAATATTTAAAGAAATGACTATCATTAGTCAGTCGTTTTCTAGCATAATTATACATTAAGGTATAACGTAGTGCACGTTTTGTTTATACTAATTTTATTAAAAAATAATAAAATTGATAAAAAATAAATATATGGAAAACTCGTTCAAGATGTGGTCACTGCTTTGTTCCCAACATTTCACGTGCACCAACATAATACAGAACTAAAATCATCAGAAATAACTCTATGCTAAATAAACTATCTGGTTTAAAGCATTAATACAAAAATAAAGTATCCAAAAATCAAAATAATGATACACCAAATAACTAAAATTGTTGAACGAAATTAATATATTCGAAGATGTGTGTACCAGCACATAACAAAAAAACAAACGTAAACTGATATAATAAAAACACTAGGACGTTAAAAAGTCGAAAAAGTAAAAACTGATATAATAGATAACTAAGATACTTAAAAATCACAAAATACAGTAAATTCTTCCTAATTGACGCTCAGATCGTGAAAAACAAAAAAATGGACAATTTGGAAAGAGGAGATACGATTATTTCAGCCTCGCGACTCGTTTTTTATAGTCGCCGATTGTCAATAATTATAAAAACGAGCCGTATCTCCTCTTCCAAACTTGTCCATTTTTGTTTACAAACTGAACGACAATTGGGGAGAATTTACTGTAATAATGCCGAAAAAATGTTGGGACGAAATAGAAATTACTGGAAAATACGTGTTCGCAAACGTCCCTACCTCGAATTTCGAATCGTTCCGGAAAATAATTCCCCGCCCCATTTTCCCTTACTGTCCCCTTACTTTCGCACAAAACTTTGATTGCCGAGTGCAATCGGTTTACTCGAAGGTTACTTTAAGGCCAGTGAAAATAATCCGCCAGGCCATTCGGCGGAATCGAAGGGAAAGAGAATTGTGTAAGGGGTGGAGGGGAGTGGAGTTGGGAAGGGGCGAAGAGAGAAGTGGGGGATGATCTAACGACACTGGCCGACGACAACGGGGAACCGATTCCTCGGTGCACCGAAAACCTATCGAGCCATGATAGCTCGTGCGGGATTTAAGTCCGCCGACTACCCTGATTCTCGACCAACCGGAATCAAACGGTGTCGCTTCGGAAAGAAGTCCCTTGGTAAACGTTCCAGCTGGTCAGCGGTTCGTGTCACATGCTGTGAGGAAGGTATTCGAACCAAAGTACTCCGCGTTCTTGCTATAAATCACTTCCGTAATGAGCGCGGATCGTTTCACGACGAATCGATCGTTTTCCCGGTCCACATCCGAGTCGAAAACCAAAGACACAATGTTTCCGAAATTAGGAGAGGTTTACGTCACCGTTTTACCGCTTTTATATTGCTTTATAAAATACAGATTTACAAAATTTTTGCAAGCTTTCTATATCGCTATATCCTTGCGGGAAAATTTTAATCTATAATTTCTTTAACATACGTTGTAATACAAAATATTAAGCAGGTTTTAATATGGTATCGCGTATGCGAAATTTGTTTATCGAATACAGATTTTGCAGTTTTTCTAAATCGCGGGATTCTTGCGGCAAAATAAAAATGAACAAGTTCTTCGAGTTAGAGGCGTGATATGAAATGTTAATTAGGTTTGTACAGCGTTGTTTACGCGAAATTATGGTTGTTTTAGGTCATCGTTTTGTTGCTTTCGTATTCGTTTATAAAATAGAGACCACCGAATATGTATTTGAATTTTTCTCCATTTATTATGTACACACAAACGGCATCTGCATTTAGTAACTTTTATGTCGGATATTACGTATACGGTTGTGTTAATTCCTTTTTCATCTTAACAGGGAAAATTCAGTGTATTGTAAAATATGTTTTGTTATTAACACTCGCCTTTTTTTGCTATCCAAAAAAACATCGAAACTTTTATTTCGAATTTGTTCGTGAACGATATATTTTCTCTAAAAACACCTCGTTCAACCTTGCTTGAACTTAGTTAAAAAATTTACAAAACATGCAACTACGTTGCGCGGAGTCTGTGCTACAAAATCAGTTCAAATTCAGAACTGTGTCTCGAAAATTAGCGTCGCACCGAGCTGTTAACTATTACTCGTACTTCGGACTGTTCCAGAATCCCGCGAAGTTTCATCAAAATCGGAGTGTAACAGTTCCGGAGTATTGCGAGTAATAATGCGAATTACCCGACATACTTTGCACGGAATATTCAATTTCATCTCCCGGACCGGCTTGTTCCACAACTGGCCAAGAAATAAACAAAAAGCTGCGTCTAGATCTTTCGTCTCATGAATATCACATTTCCGGGAATGGCCTTTGCACTCTTCAAACAGCTTCCACCCCATTTTCTAAACTGAATTATTTAAGTCCTCCCTCCTGCGCTCACCACCTCTTTCACCTATTCTCCCTACTATTTCTGTGCTTATCATTAAGCAGGACTGTATCTCTCTGCTCTGGCAAAAGTTCTAACTAGTCGGCCACTTGTCAAAACGCATGTGGTAGAAACGCTTTTGAAAAGTATCGATCATCCCTCCATATACATTCCGTCACAGACTTCGGTACAATTTACTTCGAATGTAACATAAAATAGTAGTATTTTTATAAACGAGTTTATTTTGGACTAAATCCGAATACATCTGTCCGAAACAATATTTCAATATCACATAAATACAGAACACAAAACAAACCTTATTTTGAATTAAATTCGAATAAATCTTTTCGAAATAATTTTTTAATTCTACGGAAATACAAAACGCAAAATAGTAATTTGAAGCAAGAAATCGTCTAAGCAGTTTATTATTTTTACTTTTCAACAACGAACTTTATTTTGTGCTAAATTCGAATAAATATTTTCGAAATAATTTGTTAATTTTAATAAAGTCTATTC